TTTTTTTTTTTTTTTTTTTTTTTTTTTTTTTTTTTTTTTTTTTTTTTTTCCCTCGTTGATTTGGGGGTTCAACCACGCGGGTGGGGGCCTGAGACTGAGCAATGGCAGTTGCCTGACCATGAATGTAGCTCAGGTATATAAATAATATATTATAACCACCATTTCAGAGTTATGTTACGGGGGTGGGGACCGAGGCTAGCCGCCCATACCTTCTCATTTTTGTTGCATTAGCCTACAATAAAAAGAATCTATCCTTTTCTTTTCACTTTACTTTCTCGTTTTAACCATCTGTTTTTTTTTTTGTTTTTTTTTTTTGTTTTTTTTTTAATACTTAAAACAGCTCCTTATGGTCCTGACTCCGTGTCCATTCTGGGGAGCCTCAGTCCGGTTCCTTTCCACCGGCAAGGCTAAATATTGAAATACAACAATTGTACACTCTCACGCTTATAACCATCTGTTGTTGTTGTTGTTGTTGTTGTTGTGTGTGTGTGTGTGTGTGTGTGTGTGTGTGTGTGTTTTCTTCTTTCCATCTGTTCTTTTAGCTTTTTGTTTTGTTATGTTTCTTCTGATTTCTCTATTTATAGCGTTTTTAGAAATTTAAACAATCAATTACCGTTTGTTTTCTAAACTTTCTGGAACCATCTCTCACTTTCCAGATAGCCCAGAGTGTCACTCTTTGTATCAGTCCAGACCAAACGTTTTCTGGCATGCTGAGATTAGAGGGAGTGCTAGTCCGGAGCGGAAGAAGGGGATATGTTCGGGAGAGGGGTTGCGAATAGGCACCTTCAGAAGCCAGATGTCCTTGCCCAGCCCAGTCTTCCCTGGCTTCTCCTTGCATCTTAGTACTGGACAAATTAAGAAGGACAGCGGAACAAGTCCCTCGAATCTATTCGGGCAATTTTTCCTCCTAATGTGGGAGCCAATGGTTGCCTGGGAGTGCAGTGTACGATATATCATATAAGCCACCGAAGTGCAGTGTACGATACATATAAGCCACGGAAGACTTTTTCCACTGTTAGTCAATCTTATGACTTATGATGATGATTTTGAAATTCGTCCGTGGTATATTGTGGTTATTAGATCTGCTTCGGAACCAAACCAGTTCAGTATTTAATATTTATACTATTTTCCATCTTCGGTGTAATTGCTGGCATGGGGTATTTAGTATTTACTATGTAGGTTTAAAACACCAATTAAGCTGAGCCTATTTGTGGAAACTGACTGCAGGCCTGGCCATCCTGAAACATCACTCCTACCCGGTCACACTGAGTCACACGGGCTTTTTTTATCCAAATCTGTATTCGGTTTGGCTGGAGGCTACCGTAATGGCCTGGGACCATTTTCTTTTGTAGTTAAAAAAAATTAATTTTTAATTTAATTTGTTAAAGAATGTCGGTGTGAGCCCGGGGCAAAAGTTGTTTCGTGAGCTTCACTCTGCCTGACATTGTTTTTTGTCCATACTTGCGGCGCATCACATGCGCACTGGGTGGCAAACCCCAAAAAATAGGGGTCAGGAAAAAAAAAAAAGGGGGAGGGGTGGGGCGTGGTAGCACACGCCCTGTCCCTCCCCTCGCAAAATTCTGGTGGACAAAGGAAAAAAACAAACATTTGGGGTCCCAGCATCGCACTCAACTGCGGCGTCCGAATAATTGTGTGTGTGCGTGTGGAGATGTGCGTGTAAATTCACTTATAGGTTTGTCCCCAGTGCAATTACTGCTCTCCATATCACCCGCATAACAAGACGACAGGCATCTGGGGTGCTCGCACACTGATGCAACTCCAATACGGGCACAAGATTCAGTGTGCTTGCAGCCAGGAACCACCAATTCAAGGGATGATACATTTCCTTCCATGTGTCGTACTCCCAGTTCGAGTAGAGAAAGCAAGCGAGAGAGAGAGAGCGAGAGACAGCGAGAGCGCGCCCGAGAGAGAGGTAGATAGAGATAGATAGATAGATAGAGAGAGAGAGAGAGAGAGAGAGAGAGAGAGAGAGAGAGAGAGAGAGAGAGAGAGAGAGAGAGAGAGAAACATAGATGGGTGGTGAATTGGGAAGGACAACAAACATGGAAGATCTCAAATAGTGGAGGATAAATAGTGGGACATGTAGTTGAGAACGCATGGCAATTTGCGGTCTCTCAGAATTAGTTTCAGAGAGAGAGAGAGAGAGAGAGAGAGAGAGGGCAAGCAAATAGAAAGGGCGGCTACCAACACACGAGCCAGTAGATTGTAAACCTAGCTCCACACTCCTTCACGTAAAATCCCTACAATATTTCCCTCAATGCCTCCGGTCTTCACCTTGATGCATCGATCCAATGCGAAACAAACAAGTCAGAAATGATGTGCCAGTCTGGATACGACCAAAATATCGAACGTTACTACTCATCCAGCTAGTGGCTGCATCCATCCTTCAGAGGAGGATATTCTTCCAAGGGGTAATTGCAATGACTTAAGGAGATGTAAAAGAGCTCTGCCATCAAAACAGTAGACGCTGAGAGAAGCATACTGAGTGCAATACACAAGAACAGAAGGGATAGTCGGCATCTGGTTTAATCCCACAATAGCTTCTCGAGCATTTAGGAAATCCCAAGTCCAACGAGTAGGGAGTGTTAGTGACACAAGCGCCGCTCCTCGTACATCTCCCCCATCGTCCACCTGTGCGACCTCGGAACTAGTTTCAGAGAAGGGAGTGAGACAGTAATCACATACAAAGAGCAGCCACCAACACATGAAACAGTATTTTGCTCCCAAGTGTCGAGCCCTTCACCCCGATGCGTCAACCTCCTCCTATGAAATCAAGCACAAACGAGATGCTGCTACACGTTCGACCGATTTCGAACAACACTACCAATCTAGCCACCTGCTGAATCTGTGATTCAGATGACGATAGTCTTTCAAGAGGGAAGACCAGTGACTTCAATGCAAATGTTAAATGATCTCCGTGATCGGAATAGTAGATGCAGTGAAAAGTAAAAACTGAAAGCAATGATAGAACTGAAGCCATACTCGCCATTTCGTGTATATAGTATATACTCGCCATCTCGTGGAATCCTAGGATTGCCCCCCGCGCAACACGAAAAGACCAAGTTGGAAGAATATGAAGCTTGATGAAATAAGCTAAACTCGTCATAAATGTCACAGCCGCGTTGGATTACCGCGCCATGATATAGATACAAATTATTCAGAAAATATGTCCCCTCCCAAGAGGACCGAGTCCACTAAAAAGATCACCATGGCTGTATGAGGGTGTGTACCACAGTA